TTTGGATGTGAACATAGGAGGTATGGTTAGTAAGTCTGCACATGACACGAAAACTGGAGGTGTAGTGGACAGCGAAGAAAGCCATCTCAGAGTACAAAGGGATCTTGATCAGATGGGCTAGTGGGCTGGGAGTAGCAGATGGAGTTTAATTTAGATAAATGTGATTTTGCATTTTGCAAAGGCAAATCAGGGCAGGACTCATACACTGAATGGTAAGGACTTGGGGAGTCTTGCGAACAAAGAGACCTTGGAGTGGAGGTTCATAGTTCCTTGAAGGTAGAGTTGCAGGCAGACTGGGTGGTGAAGAATGCATTTGGTAGGCTTGGCTTTATTGGTCAGTGCTTTGAGTATAGGAGTTGGGAGGTCATGTTGCGGCTGTACAGGACATTGACTAGGCCACTTTTGGAATACTGTGTGCAATTCTGCTCTCCCTGCTAGAGGAAGAATGTTGTGAAACTTGAAAGGGTTCAGAAAAAAATTTACAAGAATGTTGCCGGGGTTGATGAGATTGAGCTATAGGGAGAGACAGAATGGGCTGGGGCTATTTTCCCTGGAGTGTTGGAGGCTTAGGGGTGACCTTATAGAGGTTTATAATATCATCATGAGGGGCATTGACAAGGTGAATAAGCAAGGTCTTTTCCCTGGGGTGGGACAGTCCAAAACTAGAAGGCATAAGTTTAAGGTGAGTGGGGAAAAGTTTGAGAGAGACCTAAAGGGCAACTCTGTCATGCAGAGGATGGTGCATGTATGGAATGAGCTGCCAGAGGAAATGGTAGAGATTGGTACAATTACAATATTTATAAGTCTTCTGGATGGGTATATAAAATAGGAAGGGTTTAGAGAGATATGGGCCAAATGCTAGCAAATGTGACTAGATTTATTTAGGATATTTCGTTGGCAAGGACACGTTGTACAGCCGGAAACAGACCCTTTGGTCCATCGCTGACTCCATAACATCACCATTGGAATTGCACCCACTCAAAGTGCAGCATTCCAGACATTTCTTAGAATTTTCAAATCAAGTCTTACAGTAGTTTCCATAAGCAAACAGAGACATTCACGTCACAAGACTTTACCAGGTCATCGAAATCCCCGAATGAAAACTGCAGTTTCTGATAAATCATGATACTAAGGGAGTCGAAGAATGCTGCTTCCTGCAAATGAATCTCTCATGTAACGTATATACAAAGATTATTATTGTATCAAAAACAATCATGCACCAACTAATTTAAAAATCAATGATGAGTCTTTTCTGAATTCAATATCTATGGATTGACAGAAGTCCAGGCCCAAATTAATCCACACTTTTCTGTACAAACAAGAAACAAGCACAACATTAAAAACAAGAGAATAACTAGGGAGAAGGCAGAACCACACAAGAATAAAGGAGGGAAGGAACTTGTGCTTGGAGGCAGAGGATGTGGGTGAGATCCTAAATGTGTACTTTGCATTGGTATTCACCCAGGAGAAGAAAATGGAGGACAATAAGATTTGTGTGGAGCATGCTAATATGCTAGATTATTTTAGGATCAAGAAAGAAGTGGTGTTCGATCTCTTGAAGAGCATTAAGGTGGATAAGTTGCCAGAGCCCGATGGTATCTACACCAGGTTACTGAGATGGGTAGGAGAGGAGATTGCTGGGGCCTTGACCAAGATCTTTGTATCCTCAATAGCCACTGTAGAGATCCCGGAGGACTGGCAAGTCACTAATGTTGTTCCTCCATTCAGGGAGGGTAATAGTGATAATCCAGGAAACTACAGACCAGCGAGTCTCACATCAATAGTTGGGAAGCTACTGGAGAAATACTTAGGGATAGGATTTACACTAATTTAGAAAAGCATGGCCTACTAGGCACAGTCAGCATGACTTTGTGCAAGGCAGGTAATGTCTTACTAACTTGATTGAATTTTTCCAAGGAGGTGACAAAGGTGATCAATGATGGTAGAGCAGTGGATGTTGTCTACTTGGGTTTCAGTAAGACTTTCGCCAAGGTCCCTCATGGTAGGCTCATCCAGAAGATTAAGATGCATAGGATCCATGGTGAGTTGGCTGCGTGGATTCAGAATTGGCTTGCCCATAGAAGGCAGAGGGTAGTAGTGGAAGGGTGTTTTTCAAGCTGGAGGTCAGTGACTAGTGGTGTTCTGCAAGGATTCGCAGTGGGGACCTTATCTGTTTGTAACATGCATAAATGACTTAGATGAAAATGTAGATGAATGGGTTAGCAAGTTTGCAGATGAAACAAAGATCGGTGGAGTTGTGGATAGTGTAGAAGGTTGTCAAAGGATACAGCTGGATATAGATCAGTTGCAGATATGGGAGAAATGGCAGATGGAGCTTAGTCCATGTATGTATGAGATGCTGCACTTTGGGAGATCAAATGTTAAGAGAAAGTGTACAGTTAATGGCAGGACCCTGAATAGCATTGACATAGAGAAGGATCTTGGGGTTCAAGTCCACAGGTCCCCGAAAGTGGCCACGCAAGTAGATACGGTAGTAAAGTTGGTCCATGGCATACTTGCCTTTATTTGTTGGGGAATTGAGTACAAGAGTCAGGATGTCATGTTGCAGCTTTATAAGACTTTGGTTAGGCCACACTTACAGTATTGCATTCAATTCTGGTCGCCACATTTCAGGAAGAGTGTGGACTCTTTGGAGAGGGTACAGAAGAGGTTTGCCAGGATGCTGCCTGGATTAGAGGGTACAAGGTATTAGGAGAGGTGAGACAAGCTCAGATTGTTTTCTCTGGAGTGGCAGAGGTTGAGGGGAGGCTTGTTACAAGTCTATAAAATTATGAGATGCATAGACAGTATTGACGGTCAGAATCTTTTGCCCAGAGTTGAAATGTCTAATACTAGAGGGCATGCATTCAAGGTGAGAAGGGGAAAGTTCAAAGGAAACGTGAGAACCACTTTTTTTTTAAAAACACAGACAGTGGTAGGAGTCTGGAACACACTGCCACGGGTGGTGGTTGAGGCAAATACAATCAGGGCATTTAGGGGCTTTTAGATAATCACATGATTAAGCAAAGAATGGAGGAATATGGACCAAGGGCAGGCAGAAAGGATTAGTTTAATTTGGCATCATATTCGGCACAACATTGTGGGCCATTCCTGTGCTGAACTGCTTTATGTTCAATGTTCTAAAATTTATACTAGGAAGCACAATTAGGTTTTCAAAAAAATGGCATAATAGTACTATTCTGAAAATCTAATCATAACAACAAATTGGTTAAACATATTGAAGACAGAGATTATTTTAAATGTTTTGTAGACCAAACACTCAACTTGCTCAGTCAACTAGATTCTCAACCGGAAATAGATAATTGTTTACTTCAACATTAGCACAATAATAGCACAGGGCTGTGGCTTCCCTTCCCAGACAGAGAAAATAGTTTCTTTCTGATAATATTGGAGATAACATTTGCCTTGTACAATTACAGTTTTATGTCAATGTATTTCCAAGATTAAAATATATTAAGCATTTGGCCAGATCCCAGGTTACTAGATAAAAGCTTAAAGTATGAAAGAATGCTGTATGTCATATACTGCACAATCTTTTGCAACAAGACACCAAAGAAGGCTCGCTATAAAATCAGAATTCAATTCCTTGATGTGAGGCATGTGACTTAATTGTGCTCAGCTGTACATATAATGATCATGTGCAAGATAATTTTAAAAGTGGGAGTTTATGCAATTCAAAAGGAATAAAATCAAGAATAAAACAAAATGTAAGATAGAAAAAAAAACTTATGCTAAAGCAGTGTATCTTCGCTTAATGTTCTCTCAGATCTGCCGCAACTCGAGACGTAATAGTAGACATCAATTTTGTTTTTCTTTTGGCCGTGCAGCTACTGCAAAAACATAGGAATAGAAAGCAGCACAGACAACTTCTGCAGATTGGATATTAATTCTAATTTACTAAATTCAATTTATTTGAATTATTTTTTGCAGAGTGGTGTCAATCAGAACTTTTTCAGTGCTGCAAGTGCCAGGAGAATGGATGGAGGCGGCAATGGCCCTGTGGTATTCAGGCTAGACTGTTAACCCCGAAACTCAGCTAATGTTCTGGGGATGCAAGTTCAAATCACACCACGGCAATTAATTCCAGTTTTCTTTTTAAAGAGTCTAAAGATGACCATGAAAAACAACGTATTTTTGTCCCTCCTTTTGGGAAGGAAATCTGCTATCCTTACCTGGTCTGGCCTACATGCGACTCCAGACCCGCAACAATGTGGTTGGCTCTTAACTGCCTTCAGGGCAATTAGGGATGGGCAATAAATGCTGGCCTAGCTAGTGATCCCTCATCCGAAGAATAAAATTAACTTATCACACTTATGCACTTAAAATCATTATTGAGCATAATAACATCAAGTACAGCATGAATGAAAAGTAAAATCTGTTCTTAATTTGAACAATGCACCTGAAAACAAATAAATCTCAGAAGAACCCTCACGGAGGTGCCATTGGAAACGCTTCCATTCCATTCAAGATACTCCACCATTCATGGCAAGGAACCTAACCTACCAGAAACGATCTGAACTCTTGCAACTTTTCTGAACCTTTCTAATTATTTTCAAGAAAGCAAGTCTTCATAAACAGTACTAAGACAACAATAAATGACAATGCAGACTTTGGACTGACTCAGTGTACAGCTGCCATCTGGTGGAAATACCAGGTAAACCAACTGTAATGTTAAAAAAGTTTAATACAAGATTTTCAATGAAAGATGTAACTAACGCAGTGCAATTATTTCAGCCACAACCATAGTTTTAACAACTTTAAATAATAAATACATGCTTCACTATTAGTTTTGATGACAATAAATGAAGCTTCTATGGAAAACTGACCATTCCTGGAAATAAATTTAATTTTGTGTTGATTGACAACTCTCCCTGGATCTGTTAAATTTATTTAATATTGCGTTGAAAATAATGTTTTTTTGTTAAAAAAAGCAAAATAAATAATGAAGAACACAAATAGAAAAGAGAAATAGATCTTACCTGTTCTACATCAGCATTGCGAGGTAAAAAATAAATTATGTTTGGTGAGATCTTCTGGGAAAGTGCAAAGATTTCACAGGTAACAAAGTTAAGGCAAAATAAAGCATTAAGCAGCTTGAAAGAGAACGATAAAAATGAGCTGAAATGTGTTTTTCATCAAGTGTAAACCAGAAACAGATCTGAGGCAGCACCAAAACTATAGAAGAATAAAATAAACCCTGGAAATTTACAGAAGGGAAGAGAGTTTAGGCATACAACTAAAAACATCAACATTTTTAATCTTTACAGATTATCAGAAGTTTGTTTTTGTTCTTTTAGCATTTCAAGTTTATGTTCTCAAAGGAATACTCAGAAGAATGGCTGCAGATTGTGAAATTTGAAAATTTAGAGTTATTCCTGCAGTTCTCTCTCCACAGCTTACTTTCCTCGACTTATTTTGTGATTAAAGTAAGCAATTTTCACACTGGTTACTGCATGAAACATATGGTTTGACCAAGTCATTTAATCATTCATTAGGAGGACATTTGGGTTTATGCTGGCTATCTGTGGAGCAAACCTGTCAGTCCCATTCCCATGCTCTATCCTCACGGCCCTGAAGGTTTGTATCCATTAACCATTTATCTAAATGCATCTTGAAATCATTGATCACCTCTGCCTACACCACCCAATCTGCTGCTCAAGCTTGCTTACTCACTTAAATATTTTGATGAGGCTGCATTCCTCTCATTTCCTTCCCCATTTTAGATTTGAACCTGGCTTGTTGAATTTCTCATTCAAACATATGAATTAGAAGCAGGAATAGGCCACTCAGCTCGCATCTGTTCTGCCATTTACTAAGTTTATAACTAACCTTTCACTCCTTTGTGGTATGATCCCAGCTGATCCTGTTGGATAAGTCCAATACCGGATTAAAAACTGGCCTGATAACTTTTTTTTTCCCATTAGTTTGTTAAGGCTGCAAATTTATTTATCAACAGAATTTTTTTTTTTGTAAACAAAAACAAGCCGAACTGTTCAAATATAGAAGAAAGTTTGTATGTTTCTCAAACTAAACGTTTCTGCTGACAAGAATTATTCTCTGAGCTCCTAGGAGAGAAATTAATCTTGCTTCTGCATGCAAGTCTGGTGACTTCTGAACTGAATTTAAAACAAAAACATGCTCAAAGCTAGATTAAATTGAAGTTAAAACAAAGCTGATGGCCTACATGTTGACACCAGTTATTGTACACAACAAAATAAACATCTTTCCATTAACACCAGGGTTCTGCAGTCACCTGCGTTTTGAAAATACTGGATTCAGTCACTATTTCAGATAGACTCTCACTTTTTTAAAAATGTAAAAAGAAAAACCTTCACAGAAATAACCAACACCCATCGCTTCCATTTTGAAATACAGATCCCAAAAAGGATATTAATATGTAAAAATTGTACACTATTCATCATATTTGTTTCTCAAGAAGCTATTTACCTTTGTCTTAAATATATTCAGACTCTGCTTCCACTCTTTTTCTCAGCTGTCTGAGAAACCGCATCTCTAACTTATATGGTGACACCTTATTTTTAAAATAGTAACCCCCAGTTCCAGTTTCTCCCATAGGTGAAATTTCCTTTGCATATTCCCTTGGCAAGGCCCTCCAGAATCATACATTGCACTGATTTTATAATGTCCAGTGACCTGTCCTAGTGCTAGCTTATCCTATTTTTCCTCATAAGACAACCTGTCCATTCCAGATATTAGACAAATAAATCTTTTCTGATCTACTTCAAATGCATTTACATCCTACTTAATTAAGGAGATCAATACTGTACACAGTAGTCCTGATGTCTTCTCAGGAGGCAAGTGTCAGCCATGGTTCAGAGGTAAAAATCACCTGCCAGTCTGAAAATTATTGGCTCAAGTTTCCATTCCAGGAATTCAGCATGACTGACATTGCACTGCAGCACTGAGAGGGGGCTGCACAGCCAGAGGTACTGTCCTTTAGATGAGATGTTAAACCTATGCCAAATCTGCCCTTTAAGGTGAGCTGAAAAATACCATAAGCTTATTTCAAACAGCAGAGTAAAGACCATAATCTTCTAGCCTCTGATCTCCTTCTACTTATGGTCCCTTCCTCCAACCAGAACTTTACAGTGTCTGATTCCTGCATCCTCTACTTCTATTACTTTACTGCTGTTGCTGGGTTTCAAAGGCCACAGCCAGTGACCTTTTCCATTTGTCAGGTTGTGGCCAGGGTATTAAGATGAAACATCTTGAATTCAGCAGGGTCTGAGGAAATCCGTTCTTTTAGCTCTGAAGGCAAAACAGCCCCTCAGATGTTTCTCTATAAATACTGGGCCACTAGTTCCTTCAAACTGAATGTGATTGCAGCAGCTGCAATACTTCCCCAGCCAATATCAACTAACTTTAGGCGAACCACGGTTGGAGCATACAAATTTCTGCTGTTTGGCTTAGTGATTAATTAATCAGCCACTAAAGGGGACAAGGACAGTAAGTGGTTTAGCTATTCATCCAAACTTCTGTTTTAATATTCTTGGATTTTTAAAATGGATTTTATCAACTATTTTCTGACTATTGGATAATTGCAAGAGCCTAGGCTCCTTGAACACAACCTCCATTGGATTACCATGCCTGCTCCACTTGCAGTCACACCTCCTGTCACTGAACTACAGCCCAAATTTGAATTTCAACCACCTAGCCTGACTGCCTAATCATGTTTAATGACAGTTTTATTTTGCCAAAGTAACAACCATAGTGGATTGAGGAGAACCAGTAAATGTAGCATACTTGGGATTTCTAAAAAGGCATTTGATAAGATGCTACAAAAATTGTCATACAAAGTAAGAGCACATGGTGTAGGGTTAACAAATCATCATAAATATTGTCTAGCTAACATAAAGCAGACAATAGTGATAAACAAATTTGTTTTAACGAGTGAAGTGGCCAGCAGTGCTGGGTTCTCAAGTATTTCCAATATCTATCAATGATTTGGATGAGGGTGACAAATGAATGGAAGCAAAATTTTCCAATGACGCCAAAATAGGTTGTCAAGAGGAAGTAGAGTGTTTGAAATGCAAGTCATCAAGAGGGAGGAAGAAATACAAAAGGATATGGACAAGTTGAGGGAGTTGAAAAAATTGGCAGATGGAGTAAAGTGTGGGTAAATATTTTGGCAGGAAGAACAGAAAAGCAGTGTACTGTTTAAATGGAGAGATCTTGGGGTCCTGGTACAAGAATCACAAAGTTGGTATGCATGTACGGTGTTCAGATTAGAAAGTCGTCGTTTATTGGAAGAGAAATGGAATGTAAGAGTAAGAAAGTTATACAGCAGGATGTTGGTGAGATCACGTCTGGAGTATTGTATAGTTTTGATCGCAATATTTGGGGAAAAAAAAAAATGCTATAATCGCTTTAGAAGTAGTTTAGAGAAAGATTGCTCAACTTATTTCTGGGATGAAAGGCTTAATATTATGAAGAAAGTTTAAATAAGTTAGGCCTACATACATTGGAGTTTAGATTGAGAGGTGGTCTTTTTGAAACATACAAGACGTAGAAGGCTACTGGGTAGAAGGGACACCTGGAGGATGATTCCCCAGGGGGAGATTAAAACCAGGGGATGTATGGTAACAAAGAGGTCTCCCTCTTTGGCTAGAAATAAAGAGACTTTGTTTTCTCTCAGAGGGTCATCAGAATGTGGAATTCTCTTAAGCAGAAGGTAGGGGAGGATGTATCTTTAAATTTATGAAAGGCTGACTTACATTAATATTTTGATATAAAAGAGAATCAATAGTTTCAGGGAGCAGTCAGGAAAAGTGAAGCCGAGTCCACAACAAAAACAGCCAGGATCTTATTGAATTGTGGAGTAGGTTCAAAGGGCCAAAGGGACTTCACCTTTGTTCCTAGGATGGCCTGCATATATCTAAATGGGTTTTTGAGATGTTAACCAGGAAATCAGTATCTGTGGTAACACCAGGACCCTGGGGACAAGAATGCAGTAATTGGTGGAAATGTGTACAGCAGACAGTGGCAGGGAGCAAAAGTAAACTTATTTCTGGTTTCACATACTATTGTACACATTGAAAACAACTAGTTATTCCAATTCATGACATCTGCACCATTGGAAAGTGCATTTGCACAGATCCAATGCTGGAGCTCTGATGTTATCCAGATCTGTAATCAGGACCTTCTTTAAAGGAAGGCAGATTTGTGAGAAGGAAGCAATAAGCATGCAAGCAGGGCAGATTTGATGAGAACAAACATACATAGAGGAGGAGTCAGGGAGCAGGAGAAGCCATGAGTCAGAGTTTCAGCAGCAAGACAACTGCCCCATAATGGCGCCAGTCATGTCTCAGAGCCCCATGTCAGATTGGTGAGAAATAACTTTAAAATGAATCCTACAATGCTAAACAAAAATGCAGACCACCATAAACTGTTGATGTTAAAGTGAAACGGTGTTAAAATGGGGTTGAACTGTAGTTAATACACAAAAATGGCAAGTTTCTAGCTTTTCATTTACTGCACGTTCTTGATGCTCAATTGTTTTGTTATAGCATTACAACTTTTAATGCTAATCAAAATTCACAAACGTGCAAAAAAAATTCAACGTAAGTATTAACAAACCTAATTATTCTGCTATAAAGATATATTTTAAAACTCTGAACACAGGTTTTGAAGGATATCCATCAAGAGACATCATAGTCTTCAGGTCAAAGATTTTTGCATTGACATAATCAGGGCCTCCCCATGGAGGACTGAGGAACACAGCATCAGCCTTTAGGTCAGAAGCCAGCAGAATGAAGTCACCAAGGATAAATTCAATCTGTTCAGACACTCCATAGACTCTAGCATTGTTTTGTGCAAGATCTATTTTCACAGGATCAATATCAACAGCAATCACTGAAACAAAAAGAAAAAGGTTGGTTAGCAAATATATAAATTGCACTCTCCTGATTAAGAAAGTTTACAGTCAAACTAAAACAACAAAAATTAAAAATTATCCATTGTATCTACAGTAGATATTCTTTGAAAAGCATACAAAAGCCACGTACAAAAGCATGGAAATAACGCTCCTTTAAGAGATTCATGCCATGTACCTTGGTTAGGCACTTGACTCAAGTCCACCTTATAAAGACATCTATTTCTGGGCTACGTTTTAGTTATTAAGTGTATGAAATATATGGAGTACCAGTTCTTCCAGCATTCAGAATTTAAATGAAGGCAAGTTCTTGGTCAGGAACCATGGTGAAAGCAATAGGATTTTGCCAGCTACTTTCCACAGGTAATTTCAGCCCAACACATTTTTCTCTGATTCAAAATGAGCTAGCTCCTCAATGCCCAATCTCAGTAAAACATCAAATAGCCTGTATGAGTGGATGAAAATCATCCCATGGCACTCTTGCAAAGAATACCAGGCAGGTTTGCCTTGGTATCCTATACAACGTCACTTAAGCAACATTGCTTAAATAGATGGCTTAGTCACTATATTTGTCACTTGTGGGATCTTGTGTGCAAAACAGATGACACATTTCTGACATTACAACAATTACTATACATCAATAAAGTATTTTTTTTGTTCCAGGTCATGAATGCACAATTTGATCTTTTTTATTTTTACCCCAGTACTGCTTTGGGCATGCTGTTTTCAAAGTTACACATGAAATATCTTCAAAATTTTGTTACTGCTCAAAAACCTTTTAAAAATGTTCTCATTGGTCATCAAGACACTTTTTTCTCAGCTAAACTTTAACTTGGTTTCAAATTAATGAAAAAGTTCAATGTATCAATCAGACATGTCTTCAGATAGAGCACTTTGATATCTACTTTGAATTATACATCCAAGTAATTGTTTTACAGGTTCAGCCATCTGGATCTTATTTAAAGCAGTGTGAGAACAATCTGAAAGAGTTTGAGTTAAAGAAGCACTGATCTGTAAAGAGTGACTCAATGAATTGTACAAGATACTGATCTCATTTGAAGTGCACTTTGCATACAGGCATTATCTTCAGTTACAGTTTTCTTATTTTAGGAGGAAGTGGAAGGCTTTTCCAATCAGGAAGTTTTCCAAATTTAATCCGGGCACACGACACTAGAAAGTTTACAAAAGTTTGTGCAAAACTGATTTACGTTCTCCAAACCGATTCCTGTGCAGGAGGTCGAAGATAATGTAGAAATCATCAGAATCTTAAATAAGAGACTGTGCTGTCAACAGAAATCTCAGTTATATGCACACTCAACTGATATCAATGTGAATTAGTTAAAAGAATAGAAGAAAATGCTATCTGGCATTCAAGAGACTGTGGTTTTGATGACTTTTTAAAAAATATATCAGACAAAATTGATTTACAATGACAGTTATGGATGAGGAATGCATTCAGTATTTGCTTTTACACAAAACTGATTTCCATTTACCCCTGAAATAATTCCATGAGAGGCTGGTATCCCGTCACCAAGTCACCCTTTATTTACACGTGGCGAGTCCTTGACACTGATACAGCTCCCTCAGAATGAGCTCTCAGAGTGAACAGGATGTCAGTCAGCCAGGGCTCCTTAATTGGACCAGATTAAAAGTCCCAATCAGGGAACTCATTCTATGAGGTACACATGGCTGACCTTGTTACAATCACTACAACCTCCAACAGAGCAACTAAATACCCTTAAGGGTTCCTTTCTTGTTTTAACCTCTACTTTGCTGCCAGTTAGACAACCATTCTACACAGATAGTTATTTTGAATGACAAATGCTTTTGGTCAACAATCTTGGGATTTGGCCTTAGCACTTTGTACCATCACTTCTTTGTCCCACAGTTATAGTTTAATTAAAAACATCCTCCATTTGCTCCAGTTCTAATGGAATAACACAATTAGTTCTCCCATGGTTTAGACCAAAGAACACAAGGATATAGCAAATTTTCCTAGCATTACTAGTGATTCCCTTTCTATAAGCATGGAAAGTTTCAGTTTCTGGAGCTTATGAAGCACTATTTATTCAACTGATCAAGATAGAGAGGCGATTCACTGGTGAACTGCAGCTATGGGAAAAGTTTATATGGACGGGAGTTGTTCTGCTTCTAACAGAGGGAAAATTAATTGATGCATATAAAATTTAAAAAAAAAAGAGGGGTTTTGATGGAGTGAATAGCAAAATCTCATTTCCCTTAAGCGAAGACAATGCAGAACATCAATTTAATGTCATTGGCAGAAGGGCAAGAAGAGAATTGAGGAGAATTTTCTTTTAAATCAGAGGATGGTGGTGGAGGGAAGAAGGCTCATCACATTTAAAGGTAGTTCAATAAAAAATTTAAGTGCTAAAATCTACAAGGCTACAAATCAAGAGCTGGAAAGTAGGACTACAGTGGTTAGCGGTTTTGTCATATAATACAGGGAGACAATGGCCTAGTGGTATTATCACTGGACTGTTAATCCAGAGACCCAGATAACATTCTGAGTATCCAGGTTCGAATCCTGTCACGGCAGATGGTGGAATTTGAATTCAATAAAAAGTGGAATTAGGGGTCTAATGATGACCATGAATCCATTGTTGATTGTTGGAAAGATCCATCTGGTTCACTAATGTCCTTGAGGGAAGGAAACTGCCATTCTTACCTAGTCTGACCTACATGTGACTCCAGACCCACAGCAATGTGGCTGACTCTCAACTACCCTCTGGGCAATAAATGCTGACCTAGTTAGACTGGGCCAATTGTCCTTCTGTGCTGTAAAACTACGATTTATTGAGAGATTGTTAGAAAATGCTAGTGTCAAAATAAGAGCATACATGATTTACACAACAATATTAAAATAGTACGAGGTAATCTCCAATGACAACATGGTGATTAAGCTTGGTCTTCAGGTGAAAACAGTTTAAGAGGTCAGAGACCAATTTGAATTTACTGCAGTCCTTATTTTAAAATTATACATGCTGTTAATGTTTGTCAAAGGATTTAAAAATTATGACAATTTGGGAATCCAAAATACAGCTTCTGAGCAGTTGCAATGCAAAGTTAGGATGCTATCACTGATGAGATGACGGAACACCACATATGATTATAATGAATAGTTTCCCACTATGAATATAAATGTGGAGGCAAGATTAAGGCAGAGGTTTTAACCCAGACAAGTTGCATCTTGGGACGTGCTGAAAGATACCTGAATCATCATAGAAGACAACTTGCCCCCTTGTTGGAAACAGTGCTGATCTTAGGGCTGTGACAGTGACCATTCCCATCAAGTATCTGCCTCCAGCTCCTTACAAGGATCTCCCAGGGGCATATCCAGGATCTCTTAATCTAGAAACCTACATGTGAATTAGACAAGTGTCTCATGGGTCATTTTAAGGGTCAACAGCTATATAAATTTCCCACAGCTACCTAGAATACACCTCCTCCCACTCACCTTCCTGCAAAAATACCATCCCCTATTCCCAAGTCCTTTGCCTCCGCCGCATCTGCTCCCAGGATGAGGCATTCCACTCCCGTACATCTCAGATGTCCTCGTTTGTCAAGGACCGCAACTTCTCCTCCTCAGTGGTCGAGAGCGCCCTCGACCGTGTCTCCCAAATTTCCCACAACTCATCCCTCGCACCCCCTCCCCACAATAACAACCAAAACAGAATCCCCCTCGTCCTCACGTACCACCCCACAAACCTCCAGATCCAACGCATCATCCTCCGACACTTCCGCTATTTGCAATCTGACCCCACCACCAAAGACATTTTTCCCTCCCCACCCTTATCTGCTTTCTGGAGGGACCACTCTCTCAGTGACACCCTTGTCCGCTCCACACTCCCCTCCAGCCCCACCACACCCGGCACTTTTCCCTGCAACCACAGGAAGTGCTACACCTGTCCCTACACCTCCCCCCACACTCCCATCCCAGGCCCCAAGAAGACTTTCCACATCAAGCAGATGTTCACCTGCACATCTGCTAATGTGGTATACTGTATCCGCTGTTCCCGTTGTGGCCTCCTCTACATCGGGGAAACCAAGCGGAGGCTTGGGGACCGCTTTGCAGAACGCCCACGCTCGGTTCGCACTAAACAACTGCACCTCCCTGTCGCGAACCATTTCAACTACCCCTCCCATTCCTCAGATGACATGTCCATCCTGGGCCTCCTGCAGTGCCACAACGATGCCACCCGAAGGTTGCAGGAACAGCAACTCATATTCCGCTTGGGAACCCTGCAGCCCAATGGTATCAATGTAGACTTCACAAGCTTCAAAATCTCCCCTTCCCCTACCGCATCCCAAAACCAGCCCAGCTCGTCCCCGCCTCCCTAACCTGTCCTTCCTCCCACCTATCCCCTCCTCTCACCTCAAGCCCCACCCCCATCTCCTACCTACTAATCTCATCCCGCCCCCTTGACCTGTCCGTCCTCCTTGGACTGACCTATCTCCTCCCTACCTACACTCACCTTTACTGGCTCCGTCCCCGCCTCTTTGACTGGTCTGTCTCCTTTCCATTTATCTTCTCCTCTATCCACCTCCCCCTCTCTCCCTATTTATTTCAGAACCCCCTTCCCCTCCCCCATTTCTGAAGGAGGGTCTAGGCCTGAAACGTCAGCCTTCCAGCTCCTCTGATGCTGCTTGGCCTGCTGTGTTCATCCGGCTCTACACCTTGTTATCTCAGATTCTCCAGCATCTGCAGTTCCTACTATCTCTGAAGCACATTTAACCTACTTGTTTAAATTCTTTGAAGGAGTAATGCGCCAAGGATAAAGGGGAGCCTCTGGAGGCACTATGCTTCAATTTCCAGAAGGCATTTGACAAAGTGCCACATGAAAGGTTGTTGAATAAAGGAGGGACTCATGGTGCAGTGTGTTACATTTTAGAATGTATAGAAGATTAGTCAGTTGGCAGAAAACAACGATATTATATTCAGAATGGCAGGATGTGACAAAGAGTTCAGCAAGGTCTTTGGTTGGGCCTCAGCATTTTACAATTTATATCAGTAATTTAGATGAGGCAAATAAATGCATAGTACAGGAGGTCCCTGACTTTCAAATGCCTGACTTATGAATGCAATCCCTACAAGGTGTAATTTTAAATATCCAACATTCAAACATTTCCTGTACTTACAAACACTGCTTTATGTTGTCTTGCATAAGAGATAACAAGGTGTAGAGCTGGATGAACACAGCAGGCCAAGCAGCATCAGAGGAGCAGGAAGGCTGACGTTTCGGGCCTAGACCCTTCTTCAGAAAAATGAAATATTGTCTTGCATTGTGTTCTGATTTACAAACAAATTGACTTGCAAATGGACTCTAGGATGGAACCTGTTTGCAAACTGGAGGGGGCCTTTGTCTAAATTCGTAGATGACACAAAGACAAGTAGGAAAGCACGTTGTGAAGATGACACAATATGGCTGTAGACAGATATAGAGTGTGGGGGCAAAAATTTGGTAAACAAAACATAACATGGGAAAAATGTGAAGTTGGTCACTTTGGCAGGAAGAATAAAAAAACAAGTGCAGTACTAGTTAAATAGAGGATGACTGCAAAATTCCAAGATGTACAGCGATCCAAGTTTTCCAGTGCATAAGTCACAAATGCTAGCATGCATATACAGCAAGTTATTAAGACTAATAAAGAAGAGCATTATGCAACGAATTGAACAAAGAAAAGGATGGATGTTATGCTTCAATCATACAGTTCATTGGTTAGACCAAATCTGAAACACTGTGCAATTTTGATCTCCTTCAGCAAATATGTAAATACATTAGCTGTGGTTCAGAGATGGTTGACTGGAATAAAACATGAATTGATTAGCTGTCTTTTGCAGGAGAGACTGGTAAAGCTGGACTTGTTTTCACGCAAGTTTAGAAGAGTGAGGGGTGACTTGAGTTAAGTATACAAGGTCTTGAAAAGATCGTGAGAAGGTGGACACAGAAGAGATGTTTCATCTTGTGGCGAAATCCAGAATTGGGGGGGGGGGGGCACTATTTAAAAGTTAGGGGCTACTCTTGTAGAACAGAGGTGTGGAGAAATTGTTTTGCTTAGAAGGCTGTGCAACTTTGGAACTCCGCCTCAGAAGGTGGTCATGATGTGGAGGTAGCAGTGTTGGACTGGGGTGGACAAAGTCATAACACACACGACACCAGGTTACAGTGAACCTACTTCACCTGACGAAGTAGCAGTGCTCCAAAAGCCTATGACTTCAGATTATGGTCCAAAAGATTTATTTGATGTTGTGTGACTTTGAACTTTGACAGAAGGTGGTATCATCAAATACTTTTCAGGTGGAGGTAAACAGGATTTTTTTTTTTAGGTAAGGGAACGAAGATTATAAGGGGAATGTGGAATTTGAAATACAAAGATGATTTTATTGAACAGTTGAGCAGGCATGAGAGTCCAAACAGCTTACTTCTTCTCCAAGTTCGTAATATATGAACTTTCTCATATCAAGAGCCAAATAGTCTAGAAGCACTTTGTGTGCAAGGAGGAATATCAGCATTGCTATTATGCTTGGGGAAAATAAAATAAATGGGGCTTACAATGAGGCTTTACTTACAGAAAAGATGTGGGAAGAGTACTTGACTATGAAAAAAATATCCATTTAGGCTAAAATCGTATATAAAGAGATCAAGCCTGGCAACTGCATCTCTGACTACATTATCATTAAGGTACGAAGAACAGCCTCATGGTTCGCTGTATCAGAACATTGCACCTCCAGGAACTATAACTGAACTTATTCCCACCCTAAATTTTCATTAATATCCAGGTCAAAAATTGCGATAATCAGCACCAGACAATGTTACCCAGAAGAACTGTTAAGGACAGGAAGTAAAGAAGGGATGCTTAACTAGAGAAGCTGGGATGCTGGGGATATTTTTCCGAGATTCAGATCAACTAAAGAACAATACAACTTGTACCTCATCTAACCTGTAAGTGCTGGAATTGATAGATGGACTTCAACTGTTGAAAAGTATATAATTCGCAAGTATCAACACAATTAACTGGACAAGGGCAAAATTGATTGAAGAATTTCCAGAAGTAAACACAAATGTGTACTTCACTAGATTTGAACACATCTAATATAAAAATTCATTGAATTCTGCACATCATGATAGTGTCATAGATATATACAGCATGGAAACAGACCCTTCGGTCCAACTTGTCCATGCTGACCAGATATCCTAAATAAATCTACTCCCATTTGCCAGCATTTGGCCCAAATCCTTCTAAACCCTTCCTATTCATATACCCATCCAGATACCTTTTAAAATTTGTAATTGTACCAGCATCCACCACTTCCTCTGGCAGCTCAATCCATTCATGCACCACCTTCTGCGTGAAAAAACTGCCCCTTAGGTCCCTTTAAATCTTTCCCCTCTCACCTTTACCTTATGAGACAACAAGGTGCAGGGCTGGATGAACACAGCAGGCCAAGCAGCATCATAGCAGCAGAAAGGCT